TGTGTTCACCGCATGTATAGCATTCTGTGTCGTCTGAATTGGATTGAGTTATTTTTCAATTTAATGGACATATAAACGACACCACAGGCAAGAATTCCTAACCCACGATTCATATATATATATGTACGAATTAACTACTTGGACCGTGAGTTGGGTATGCGTGCCGATATGTTATAGTAACGTATACAATAGAGATGGTTTATTTAAAACTACACGCAATTCAAACTTGGCATTCTTGTGGTCGCTTAAAGTTTAGATATTGCATTAGGTCTAAAGCAGCGTCAGAGATACAACAATGGTTGACCGCATATTTAGTTGAAATTCGCTTTGACAGTGGGAAAATAAACGTGAACTGTGTGAAAAATAGAATCTCTCTCTAGTGTCGATCACATTATATAATGGTATCGTTTGGACTGTGAGAATATTAAATACGAAATATGACCTATGTGATAAATAGAATATCACACTCGTGTAAATGTTATAGTGAGTGTATTAAACTCTTTCAATAATCTCTAGATATGACACTAGGCCACAAGACTGAATCATGTCATATCAAATGATTAAAACTCATTCATCGATCATTTCAATCATGACATGGTCATTCACGATGTAAGATTCTTGTTACTTTAAAGTAACATTTTCGAATAGAACTTCTCAATTTTTACACATATTTTATAAAATCAAAACTCCACAATATCATTAATAATTATATCAAAAATTTGTAAACTATCCATTGACCTAGACGTTGTATAGATCTTGCCCTCGTGAGTTTGTTTTGTTTATACAGGATATGGATATGTGGTTTCCCCAGAATAATATGATTTACAAATTCTTGATATAATCATCACTTCCTCATGACTTTGCTTCTATTGACCCCGTAATCTGTATCCGTAATCTCCTTCCAGGAAGCTGTCAATTTTTTTCATCCTGGACACTTGAGAAAAATCCTGAAAAAAAAACTGTATATCAAATACGTCATAATGCACATATAAAATTGTATACAATAAATGTCTGTTTACAGAACTTTTGGGTTGGGGATTTGTGCCAAATTCATTATGCTTTTTACACTGTCTCCCATCAGTGCTCAATCATCAGTTATTTTTAGGTGCATTTGAAGTGATCTGAATGATTAATAAAAAGCGATAAACATCACAATTATCATAATTACATGTTATATATATAGATCTGAAGTACGTACGGTACTTTATAAATTTTGAAAGTGAAAGATTTTTTCTTGTAAATAAAAAACATACATTATATGTAAATAAGTGGTCTTTCAACATCTCGTTGGATGACATGATCAAGGACATTTCTAAATTGATGTGATATTTCAACAAATTTCAAAATTAGTAATAACTATATCCGAGATTTTTTGTAATCTTTTTCTGAAGCCAAGTGGACGTCTAAATTTCTCAAATTTTCAATATGATTGCCTTTTTTTATCGTTTAACACATCCGGTAAAATTCTGCTGCATTCGATTTTGACGATATAATCGATATAATTTAATCAATCAAATCAATGTCTGAGAAAAAATGTTATTGAAATGGTTATTCAATTAACCTTAAGTGTTCGGTTATACCCCCTCCCCCCCCCCACACACACACACATACACACGCAAGCGCGCGAGCTTCTCCCCCGCCACCATTCTCCCTCTCCTGGACCCTCAACTTGTTTCAGTACCACATGTAACGTTGTACCGTGTGTAGTCCCACTTAAAACAATTGTAAACTACGTACTTAAAACTGGCTTTAAATATAGACAACTGAAATGACAGGAAAAACTACTCGAAGACTCATCAGAATGATGCATTATATCAAATCGAGGATATCGTGTATCGTACTTACTAAAATTTCTTCCTCGGTCTTTCCTGTGATAGAGTGTCGCCTGATATGTACATACGGTGTACATGTGGGTCATCTATATGATAAATATTGGTCGGTGTAGTTGACGCTGTGGTATATCTTTCTCTTGTAGTTGACGCTGTGGTGTGTCTTTCTCTTGTAGTTGACGCTGTGGTATATCTTTCTCTTTTAGTTGACGCTGTGGTTTATCTTTCTCTTGTAGTTGACGCTGTGTTGTGTCTTTCTCTTGTAGTTGACGCTGTGGTATATCTTTCTCTTGTATTTGACCCTGTGGTTTATCTTTCTCTTGTAGTTGACGCTGTGGTGTGTCTTTCTCTTGTAGTTGACGCTGTGGTATATCTTTCTCTTGCAGTTGACGCTGTGGTTTATCTTTCTCTGGTAGTTGACGCTGTGGTATATCTTTCTCTTGTAGTTGACGCTGTGGTGTGTCTTTCTCTTGTAGTTGACGCTGTGGTATATCTTTCTCTTGTAGTTGACGCTGTGGTTTATCTTTCTCTGGTAGTTGACGCTGTGGTATATCTTTCCCTTGTAGTTGACGCTGTGGTGTGTCTTTCTCTGGTAGTTGACGCTGTGGTATATCTTTCTCTGGTAGTTGACGCTGTGGTTTATCCTTCTCTTGTAGTTGACGCTGTGGTATATCTTGCCTTTGTCGTTGACACTGTGTGATATTTCCCTGTCGCTATTTTGTACCCGTATTTCAATACGATCTCATTTTCCCATGCATGTAGACAATCTGTTAGCATATTTTCGTGTTTTGACACTGTGTGTTTTGTTTGTTTTTTTTTTTTTTTGCCGTGTTGTTTTGGGTGTTTCTCTCTTGTGTTGGCTCTTCGCTGAAATGCTGAAAAATGTTAATACTATTTGTTTAAATATTAGATTGAAAAATGGACAATATACATCAAAGATGAAAAAAGAGATTGAGATCGATGTCGATTTCAGGCTTGTAGTGCTGTCAGTTTGTCTGTTGTCGATCTATATTTTCTACGTTGTTTTTAAACCTTTGATGGTCCTCTCACCTCAGCACGGTCCACATGCCCCAAGGGTCTGACTGAAAAGCAGTCCTTCCCATAGGGTGTTTTGTATACACGTATACAAACATGTGTATCAAACAATTTAAACACATTCTTGAGAAAAGAATCAAGTCCACAATAGTCCATGCAGGTAAATAACGGAACATATTCTAGTTTTAATTGTGGGAATAACTAAATTTTATTTGAAATTATAAATATGACTGCAACATTGTTCTTCATTCCATGTACAGTATTATTCAGGAGTTAGGGGACGGTACACTTCACATTGGTCCAGTTTTTAGGTCACCTGAAACAAAGTCTCATGGTGACCTATTCTAATACCATTCATCTGGCGTAATGCGCCGGTCGTCGTACCTTGTGTGTCGTGTGTCATGCGTCGTGCGTCCGTAAACAATTTAACACTTTCGACTTCTTCTCAAAAATCCCTGATCCAATTTCAATGAAATTTTGCAGAAATCTTCCCTGGCCTAAGATGCACCGAAATTGTGAATTATACAGTCTCCCCAACCCTCCCTCCTCCCCAATGAACTGAGTGGTGGGCCAGAAGGACTCAAATTGACTCGGATTTCAAAAATCTTCTACTCAAGACCCACATATGGTAGAATCAAATACTGTTCATGAATGGAAGCATCTTGATATGCTTTACCAAACTTGTGAATTTCATGGCCCCAGGTCTCCTCGTGGGGAGGGGGTAAAGTTTACTATAGTTTTTTTTATGTGAAAACTAAATGTTTAAGCATAATTTGTTTAAATTCCATTGGAAATATTGACCCTGACTTACCACCAGGGACTGATGGGAGGGGCCAAAAGGGGTCAATTTGACTTAAATTTTAAAAAATCTTCTTCAACACGCAGGTATTGTATACTCAAATGCTCTTCACGAATGGAAGCATCTTAAGGTGCTTTAATTACTAAAATGGGTCGCATATTTCTTCCTTGTGAGGAATATTACTTTTTAGACTTTCATAGAAAAATAGTATTTTTGAGCATAACGTTAGTTATTTCCCACTGGAAATAACTTTATTAGAATTTTCAGTATATGATGATAGTTTTGATGGTATGCACGTATTGACACTGGCTTACTATACTCAGTGTCATAATTTCGGTTTCCTGGCACTTGATAACTATCCTTTAACCTTTATATTCAATATTACTCATCTCCGGTGACAGTAAAGGCCGCTATGCCTCTCGTTTTCTTGTTCCTCATTAGGACAAAAGAATATAACAAACAACCCTGAATGATTCATTCCAGTCAAGCGTTCTGTATATAAAGCGCAGTGTAGCTCGATATCAGCCTTTGAGCCGTGTGTGTCAGTCGTGTATGTGTACATATACTTATCGCTAGTTGTGTGGTATGTGTGGAACAAATGGACCTTGCATTTCTTGTAAACAGGTAAATTTAAAAACAGCTTTGAGACTTCGTCTTCTTCACACAGAATTAGAACATGTTTATTGTCTTTTACACAGAAGTTCACTAATTTATAACGAAGATTGTTCGATCTAGTGTCCCGCAATAGGAATGTCAGGTCAAGTGACGTCGCTCATTTTAAAAGTGGGATAGTCAAAACACTCAGCGTTTCGTTGCTGTCTCATAATAAGATTTAAAGGCAACTTAATTATTACTCTCTTGTCTAGGAAAGTTTTAGTCTGGCTGAATAACGGAGTTAGACCTGTAGCGAATTCCAGTTAATATTGTGTACAGTGTCTACACAAGTCCATGTATAAGTTTAGTCTCGAACAAACTTAATGTGTTGAGTTAGGTCCGTATTTAAGTATGTAACATAGGTGTGGTCTACCTGAAATATATCAACATTTTAAAACCATTTTAAAATAAGATAGTTAATGTCTTTTTTTATTTAAAGAAATTATTTATTTCCACCTGGGGTCGAGGATGATTGATTTTAGGTCTAGTCTAGTAACAGGGAGGGCAGCCTCATATTTCTTATGATAGATTCGACACTAGCCATCTAAATTATTATTATTCAAATTCTTTATCATACACGTATTCAAATTTTGTAATGAAATAAATAAATTGTATTAGGTTGCCGCGTTGACATATCAAATCATGTACGTTGCGTTTTGATCTTTACGTAATTTAGCCTTGCCTCTATACCTGATGACGTCAATGTACAGATTTCCTCTCGTTGCTCGTCTGTGGGAAATGGAAAATTAATTGGGATATACTGATCAAAACAGGTATAAATATGTCGAGTTAACCGCTATAGATTATTTATTTGTTTTTAGAAAACGCTTTTCGTGTAAATATGATATACTTCTGGTCGTAAGGACGGTATAATGCTCACTGCAGTTGTGACCTGTTTACGACCTGATAGTTAAAATTTCGTTGTATGGTTTATACAGAGACTTTACAACATCTTACATTATGGTATTACTTTATATGGCGAATGGGACTTAAAACTGTTGTTATTTTCATGTTATTTTTTTTGTATAAGTGTTTTTGAAGTTTGTGTCAACTGAAAGGGGAATCCCCTTTCTTCTCCACTGCGATAAACCATGGGCAAACCATATCTATATATAGCAACACGTAATCCCCAAGCTAGACGATAGACTCTAGTCGATTGGACAATGCCCGGTAACTGGCAGTCACGGAGACGGAAAACAACCTACGTCATCACAATCGAAAGAAATATGCCTTGATGAAATAAAAAGAACTATTCAAACAAATAATTAAATAAATATATATTTAATATTTGACCTTGCAATTTCATCCCAAAATGTTAAAATAGGTTGATATGTGTTCATCTCAAAATGTGTCATTTCAAGAGATCAAAATAACCAGGGACATATATGTCTGTCATATCATCCCTGAAATAACATATTTACCATAAATATTTGATGGTAAATTATTTTCTTTGTTTTATTTTGCTATCTACAAAAATAAAAATGGATTGTATTGCTAGCCATGTCCCTCATACCTGATTTTTTATCATCTTGTAGCTGTTTACAAAAGCTATTTTCAGACCTTCATGCACTTTGTACTTAAGCATGTAGCTCAGACTTTTCAACCTCCATTCAAAAAAGACTTCCAAATCAAAGTGACCAGTGCCTCACACAGCAAATGATATAGGTGAAATACATATAACAAAATACAGACATATTTGTACTTTGAGGTTTATATTTTACAAGCTTAGTTGGCAGTAAAATTTCACAAATGTTTAGTGGTATGTCTGATGTGTCATGGTACTTCTACAGCAGAGCCCACATATGATATCATACCGTATGTAGTGATATGCAGTAGTGTATCTACATTGGAAAACATTGGGACATTTTTCACCAAAAATATATGACATATTAAATTTCCAAATTTCATGGAACAATTTAGAAAAGTGTCATTTGAACTTGAATACCTGTGTTTATGACGATTTTCCACATAACAGGTATTTCCTAAGGTATTATGTATTACTGAAAATGATATATAAAACAATTGTATTTTATTTTACAGAATTCAGCAGATATGTTAATGGTGGAAACCCTAGGTAGGCATGTTGCCCCTCCACCACCAAGGGAACGATACCGACATTTGCGTGTCAAAGAAACAAGAAGGGAATCATACAGATATTGGCCGAAATCAGATAGATTAAAAGAGGATTTGATTGATGAGGGATTTTTCTATCTTGGAGAACAAGACAGAGTCCAGTGTGCTTTTTGTGGTGGTGTGCTTCATAGCTTTGAAGAAAATGAAAATGTACACATAGAACATTATCGCCATTTTCCACGATGTCAAACTTTTGAAGAAACGGAGACTGCAATGGAAGGTGCGTTATTCGGCTATATGAGTGACACACAGACCGATGGTCCAGGGGATGAAGGATTAGATCAAGGAGTTGTGGAGCTGATGAGGAAGATGGATTTATCTTCAGTCAAAAAACATCCCAAACACAAATATTATGCCCTGTTAAAAGATCGGCTAAAAACATTTGAAAATTCAGAATGGCCAGCTGACCATCCCATGGATAAGGAAGAATTAGCAAAAGCTGGTCTATTTTACGCAGGTAATTATCTCAGTAATTTTTTCGGAATTAGAATGGCCAGTTGGTATATACACATTGCGATGATGTGTTTTGCTTCTTCCTAAAATATAAATGTTCTTCAAGGAACAAAGAATATTCCCTGTATTCTCCATATTATTCATATATATTTTTGTGATAAAATTTAATTCATAATTATTTATTGTTAATTTATTAATATAATAGAAGGCGTTTTGTCTGTTGTAACTTGTGAGGTGAATGATTTGAAAACTCCAGATGTGAAAATTATCAGACATTTTGTTATGTGCTGCTTTGCAGGAGTTGGAGACCTTTGTGAATGTTACTGCTGTGGAGGACAGCTAGAAGAATTTGAGGAGGGTGATATCCCAGTTGAGGAGCACGATAAATATTTCAGTGACATCTGTGTTCTTGCTATGATCCGCAAAACAAAATGACTTTACAAAATGACTGTGATGCCTTGTAGCCATTTCTATTTCGACAATAATGCGTTTGCTGGGTTTGTCACTTAGCGAACAGCCAAAGTCAATTAGAGGAGAGGTCACCTTGTAAGAGCAGATGGCTACCTCATTGGGAGACCCATTACTTGTCATAGAGTGTAATAAACAGTGAAGTGTTTTGCCCAAGGACACAACCACATCAGCACAGACTGGTCAGTTCCTCAGCTTCCCAAGAAGCACAAACTATCATCAGTAAGGAGGTTCGAACCACCCACCTCAGACCTTCACCTGAGGTTACACTGGCATAACACTTATCTTTAAAGTACAAGTGTTACTGTAATCATACCTGGAGATAGACACCAACTAGTTTACATAAATTTCAATTTTTGGTGTAATTTTTGGACAAAAACTTTTTGAGAAATTATTACAAATTTTTTATTTTTTTATAAACATTCCTTTCAGGTTTTGTTTGTAAAGCCAATTTGAAACAGACTATCAGACAGGTACCTCTTTGGGAAGAAAGATATTTTGGGGGTAAAATGTCTTATTTGAGTGTACATGTATTTTGAGAATTTTAGTAAGAATTTCATTTTCTTTTTATATTTACATATATCTAAACATGACAATAGTATTTCAATGAGGTTTACATATTATTAGTAAAAATTGATGTGATTTTTGGGAGGGGGAAAGGAGACACAAATTTTAGAATTTTAGTGTATTTTTCTTCAAAATTATTTAACTAACATAGCAGATGAGACAATTACATGATGTTGATCATGTGATGTGATTCTGATCTCCCAGAGTTACTTCCCTTTTATTTCACTTTCTATTAGTGATAGTAGAATGATAAAAGCGGAGAGTCCATACACATTTTGAACATATGAAAATTTCATGGAGCAAGGAATCCCATCATTAAACCTGTGATTTCACACATCTCATAATTAATTTTACGATATTACCCAGGTAAGAATTTCCAAAGTAAGAAAAGAAAAACTACTTTGCTAAACTTTGAATTTTCATTGCACTTGTACCAGGTATGTATTCTGTTTGAAATTTTTGGAATGCGTAAATATAATCTCTTACTCTAAGGAAATTTGATACTTGATTGAAATATATAGCACTGACAAAGAAAATGAAACTTGATCATTGTTAAGGTATTTCATTATAAATCAGTTGTTGATATTTGTGTTACAATATATAGTTGATGATATGTGTGTATATATATATATATATAAGGTTTTAGGAATATAAGAAACAAAATTAATCAGTAAAGCTGGAACTATATTACTATGAATCCAAAAACTGGTTTACAATTTTCCTCTTTGTCGCATATTCCGGTTTAGCTTGTTTAGGTGTCGTATTCTCAGACGATGGACTCAGCATTCCTGACTTTGATGTATTAAGCCAACTATGTACTGTCGGAGAATACGACACCTAAACATATGATATCTGGAAATAAAACTGAATTAACCTTCTTTGATTTTTTTGTCTTTATTTGAGGCAATATTACACCTGAACAACTACAATACCTTGTAACTCTTCAGTTTCGAGGGAAAAAATGGGAGTAAAACCTCGTAAGTCTAAATATAGCTCCTGTGAACATTTTACAATCATAATAGAAGTCACAATTGGTTTTATGATTTTTATAGCATTGTTATCATGCTGTAAAGGGAAAGAATCAAATTGTTATTTTAGTGTCTCCTGAGAAATCCCACTCAATACAGTTACAAGGTATTGACTCTTGGCCTACGATATCAATTTCTTGACCTGATAGCTGATGGAACCAAAGTGGTCGTAATTATCAGTGACAAATGAATTAATTTCAAGAAATTGCATCAATTTCAATTTTTTTCCAAAACCAAAATTTCAATTTAGAGTATATAACCCTAGTAACCTTGTAAGTGGATCAAGGTCATCAAGAAACTTTTATACTTTTCTTTCCAACATATTTTTAGCTCAAAGAAATCACTATGGAACCTAACTGACATACAGAAGATTTAGAAGTCATTAAAAGAAACTCATTCAAGGCAGTTGGTCAGATGGACAACATGTAATGTCTATATATCTGTCTACTGTCATGTTATAAAGGCCAAACAAATTTGAATCAAGAAAAATATAAATAAGTAATCTTTACTGTTCGTAAAACATGACAACAAAATGGTAACAGATCAGATATGTGAAAATATTGGAGAATGCATGCTGAGCAAGAATATATATACACACATATAAGCTTGTTGAAATGTATTTTTGCAAATCTTGACAGTGTTGGATTGTTGTGTTATCAAGTGAAGTATTCGTACTGATTTTAGAAGGATTATATCACTTTCCCACTTTCCTCCGCGAACCAAACCAGCTTGTTATTTCATGAATTGTGAAAATGACAAAGAGGTTGTTACTCATGAATTGTGAAATTATCTAGTGATCATATATTATTCGTCAAATTTATTTATTTGTACCCTCATAAACGACTTCAGACATCAACTTAATATCAATATCCATCTTCAATAGCTTTCGAATGGACAATACCAATATCATATTTTCATCACAAGTTCATTTTACAAATAATTTGTAACTGACAAAACCGTCCACACATGAGCTATTATCATTTGGAAATGGTCGACCACTTCTGTTCTTTTCTATGCAGAATATTTCATTTGATTTGTCACTAATGTTACAGAAAGGCCAACTCTTCTTTCCGGAACACAGGGCTTGTTTCTTTTGTTAATGTGTCAATGATTAGGTCTTATACATCTTATGATTAAGTTTGTTTGTAAAATTGGAGAATTTCAGTATGTTTAAATGACATAATGCAATACGCTAATATGTAATATGCTAAACACACTCATTATGATGCAACAGACGTTATATTAACGTCACAAAAAACTGCATTCAGCGCAATATTTTCTCATTGAAATCCCCTGAAATAACATCATCGCTAAAATTTATATATAAATTAAAACTATGAATGTGTATTAGTCATAAGAAAGGTGATATATTTAAACTCAATGAGCAAACAAAACTGTGAATTAATTTAAAGCACAATATCTTATATGGTATTCTTTCAAAGAATGGTGAAAGACGATATAGATATATGATTGTGAATAATACTGAAGGGTGTTTGGTGGGAAAATAAGTTCAAATCAAAGAAGAAACATACCAAAACAAGAAAATGACCGAGGTTCGTGTTGGCAACATCTTCGTCGAGATTGGTGGCAAGATTTTCCAACACCCTATTGGCATACCAATAGGAATAAATTGTGGACCTCTGTGGGCCGAGGTGTTTTGTTTTCATACGAGGCAGAATTTATCAAAATTGAAAAAGAAATGGTCAAAACAGTTTTTTCCTTCGGCAAAATCAGCTTTATGGATTAATTTTAACTTAAACAAGACATCAGGCTTGAGCACAAAATTCATGCTTGAGCATGAGAACGGTTTCTTGAATACGGGTCCAGGTCTTGCTATCCTTGTATGTTTCAAGAGTTTCCTTATCATCTGTTTTGTGTTCATACGCTGCCTTTATTAATCGATTGTGTATTTACAATATGATATTAAAACAATTTACAGAAATTTTCTCATCATTATTCAAAATGAATACAAAAGAAATCCAGTCATCTTTCAGGAAAATGCATAATTTTAATTGGTCTACATTCTTAAGCATTTAATTAAGAACATAAATTTGCCACCCAGGATGGCATGTATGTGCGAGAGAAGCACTCATCAGTGCCAGGTCGTCATGTGTCATGGGTGTGCTAGTGGGATTGCTGTCTATCAACTGGATGAGTTTTACCTAGAAATATAAAACAAAAAGTGTCTTCTGGATCTGTTAAACAAGTGTAAAAATCGTTCATGATCGCAAGGTTGCCAGTTCGCATCGTGGCCAGTGCCGTTAATTGACCAAGGGAGTTGAAATATCTGGCAAAGCCAAATAGCTGATAGGCACGGATCTGACTTCGGCTGTTGTGTGAGATATCTAAATCAACGTTTAACTTACTATATGTATTCCGAAGGCGTCATAACATTTAACTGCAATATTTGCTAGAGGTTTTTGGGCTTTTAACGAAGTATTCAGCCATATATTGCCATATCCTAATCAAAGTTATTATTATAATCCACCAAATAGGTATTTTGGCTAGCATGCATTACAATCAGTTTGAATGAAAAATTTGTATTGATAAAAACTGGAAGATATTTTCGCAAAACGAAAAAAATCACTAAAAACAAAAAAAAAAAAGAACAAAGACTGAAAGAATCAATAATTTCATGAAATAGGAACTAAGACATTTAACGAACATAAAACATATTAAATCGTCTGAATTATTCACTGACTTGAAAAAGGCATTAATTATTTTTAAAGATGATAAAATATATATATAAACTTCTGTAAAAAAAGAGAGAACCCCTCCCTTCACTTGATAAAAATGATCTATGAAAAACTCCAAACAAAAGATTGAAGTTAAGCCTATGACGATCGTTTTCATTCCGTATAGATAACTTGTTCATCTACTAACCTCGAGATTCCTGAGAACATGAATATCTTGGATGTGACTCTTCTCATCATCACTTGGGTTATATATCCAACACTGATGGTTACTGACTATCGCCATACGTTGCTGCAAAACGTCATAAACACTGCTAAATGATCCTTCAGCTTATTATATTTTCTTAATGTTGAACACATATTTTATTTTAGATTTCAATACAGATGAGAGGTCACATACAAATAGAAATTCAAAAGCAGGATTGTATTAATGTTTTTAAACATCAATATTAGTTAAGGCATTTTGATGGTATTACTCACTGAAATACAAACTGACAATAAGGTCGAAATTTTCGCGAATCAACTTTAAGTACTGGGATGAAGTGTACTACCGGAACATATTTTATCATAGGGTTTGTATAGAACATAGTTTGTTGAATATTTTGGAACAATGTGACAAATTTGCTGAAATAAGATGTCATATTCAACACCTTTGTGACATTACCGAATTGATGTCATACTTGAAGGTAAATCCTTCTCCAATATGTGGTGCGTGGGTTCCGTGGGTTCCATGATGTCCATGTTGGTGTGTTGTATTATGGTTGTTATGGTTATGTGGTGCCTTAGTTGTTGTCATAGCACATGTCTGAAAAAAAAATGGAGTTGAAATACTTTTGTCGGTGTTAATGCTAACAACTGTGAGGTTTTCGAGTACACGATATGAATTTAGCAACTATTTAATGAAAAATAAATAAAGAAGACGCTTTGTACACCGGATTAAATAAATACAGTTTGATATGTCTCATGAATATGAAAACAAGAGACTCATGTGCGTTCACGGTCATCTCACTAAAAACATATACATGAAAGGGCCAAAGAAGGCATTAAATATTTTTTTAACTATCGTAAAGCTTAAACAGAAGACATTGTTGGTTAATCATGACATTTTCTGCAAATTTAATACCATATTCTTTATACATACAATTTATATTATATAATTGTGAAGAATTATTCTAAGATTTAAACAGATTTGATAGCTGTGACCTTTCAAGCGATAAAAGTAATCCTATTAACCAGAGCTTGAATCAACTTTCTGAATTTAAGAAATGATTCCCCATCCTATATGATGTTTCAGACCACTTCTAGGTTTCCAGGAGTCAAATCAAGTTTCTGAATTTAAGAAATTATTCTCCACTCTGAATAATGTTGCACACCAAATTTCGTTGAAAATCATTCAAACATTAAGTTTTAACGGCGAAGCCCTAGCCACCGAAAAAGTGACGTCAGTCCCACTTTTGCGACTCTTCGTCGTATACGAGACAAAATGGCAAGAGATTTATATCAATGGAGTGCAAAGAACTAAAAAAAACTTCCTTGTATTATATTAATGTTAGAAAAACGGGATTTAAAGAATAAAATTCTTGTAAATAACTGCAAATAGTAAATACTCACTAAGGCGACCATACAGGCCAGAAGACCAAGTAATCCGTTCATCGTTAGAATGTGATGTTGGACCCAAGCAAGGAAACAAGTGAATCAAAGAATTGAACTAACCGATGTATTTGTATCTAATGTGTGGGAATGACCTGGATTTTCATTCTTATCTGTAGTGTTGTGATGTCTGAGATTATACCATATGGTCAGCATCATGCTAACCCATTTCATTATTTTGTTTCACAATTTCTATGTTTGTTTGATTAATGTAGAACCAAGTAGATAGCATCCTTTCTTTATTATCTATTTATACTACACTTATCCTATGTAGGTAGAATATAATATATCCTATCTAAACTCGTAATTATACAGAAGTAAAAACAAAGAAAATACTGACAATTTAACAGATTATTTATACAGTGTCGTTTTTACCTGTTTTGAATAAATATAGTGCCTGTTAGATATAAAGTAGCACCGCATCTTAGTCGATGCATACCATTGTCAGTGAATTGCATATCAGTGGAAGCATGAACACAAGAAAACGATTTTTAGCATTAAAGATACTCTCGTAACTCATGAAAGTATGTTTGTTTCATTTATCATCACCTCCTAAACAGCTTTTTGAAACGGCTAGTTGATATCACATTGAACAACATACGGGAGGCTCGTCACTTGTCATTCAGGGTAACTTCGTAAAAGTGGCTTACCAGTGTACACAACCTTCACTGCACAAACCGACTCGTTTCCCATCCTCCTGAGAAACCCCAACGCCCAATGATGTATATTCATTACATCTAATAGGGGAAGAATGTTTACATCATTTCACGAGCTCCTTTTTTATTTCAAATTTGTTTGAACAGAAAATACAACCTTGTCCTAAATGTGTGCCAATCAGCATGAATACATATACAAATGTGATTAGAGAGCATACATGTTACCTAACACTGTATGACCTTTTGTTAGTTAAGTCTCCTGTGACCCTTCTAGTTTATCACATTTGCACTCAAGTGACCAGGTAATTTTTCGGTCATTTTGAGATGAAACAGTCTGCTTTGTTTATAATTTCCCATTGTGAAAGTTATTGCCGGCTCTTTATCAGCATAGGAAGAGAGAAAAATCTCATTTTTCTCTTGCCGCTTGTTGTTTTATGCGATTGGAGTTTTATTTCAGCTTACAGAGTAAAATACTAATGCTTCACGCTCTTCTATATCTAAAGCACTCCAATACCTCAAGCATTCCACTTTATCTCATAAGGTCAAATGGTTCATATTGTAATGATTGTAGTTTCACATATTCAACACTAGGATATGAAGCAATTAGTGGACGCCATTATAGTGTAATCACTCAGAAATGTCAAACATTGACACATATGCATGACCACATTTGTTACATTAATATTCAAATAAGGAATGTTTAAAGCACTGAAAAACAAGTTTTTCATTTGTGTATAACAGTCTTCAGTTTTCAGAAAATTCATTTGACTCCTAGGAACCTAGAGGTGGACCGGGCCCCAAATGGGATAGCTATTCAATATTTAACTTCAAAATGCTTAATGCTGGATTGCAACCAAATTTGGTCTGCAACATCATATAGGATGGGGAATTATTTCTTAAATTCAGAAAGTTGATTCAAGCTCTAGTTAATAGGATTACTTTTATCGCCTGAAAGTTCACAGGGATAAGATATGTTTAAATCTTAGAATAACTTCTTCAAAATAACATAATAGTCAAGGATTAGGATATTAGGCCTATAGCATGTTAGGATGAAGGCCTACCGACTTTGTTGATATGAATGACATTGACCCATTTTCAAAGTCACAGTTATTAAATGTGTTGAAATGGTTAAGCATCATGAGTAATGATAATTATGTATTGTATGTATAAAGAATATGGTATTAAGTTTGCAAAAAATGTCATGATTAACCAACATTGTCTTCTGTTTAAGCTGTAGAGTAGTTGAAAAAGTTATTTAAGGCCTATTTTGGCCCTATCATGTATATGTTTTTAGAGTGAGATGACCGTGAACGCACATGGGTCTCTTGTTTTCATATTCATGAGACATATTAAACTGTATTTATTTAATCCAGTGTACAAAAGCGTCTTCTTTATTTATTTTTCAGTAAATAGTTGCTAAATTCAAATCGTGTACTCGAAAATCTCAAAGTTGTTGGCATTAACACCGACAAAAGTATTTCAACTCCATTTTTTTCAGACATGTGCTATGACAACAACTAAGGCACCACATAACCATAACAACCATAATACAACACACCAACATGGACATCATGGAACCCACGCACCACATATTGGAGAAGGATTTACCTTCAAGTATGACATTATATCGGTAATGTCACGAAAGTGTTGAATATGACATCTCATTTAAGCAAATTTAGCACATTGATCTAAAATATTCAACAAACTATGTTCTATACAGACACTATGATAAAATATGTTCATGTAGTATACTTCATCCCAGTACTTAAAGTTGATTCGCGAAAATTTCGACCTTATTGTCAGTTTGTATTTCAGTGACTAATACCATCAAAATGCCCAAACTAATATTGATGTTTAAAAACATTAATACAATCCTGCTTTTGAATTTCTATTTGTATGTGACCTCTCATCTATATTGAAATCTAAAATAAAATATGTGTTCAACATTAAGAAAATATAATAAGCTGAAAGATCATTTAGCAGTGTTGATGACGTTTTGCAGCAACGTATGGCGATAGTCAGTAACCATCAGTGTTGGATATATAACCCAAGTGATGATGAGAAGAGTCACATCCAAGATATTCATGTTCTCAGGAATCTCGAGGTTAGTAGATGAACAGGTTATCTACACGGAATGAAAACGATCGTCATAGGCTTAACTTCAATCTTTTGTTTGGAGTTTTTCATAGATCATTTTGATCAAGTGAAGGGAGGGATTCTTTCTTTTTTGCAAAATTATATATATATTTTTTTCATCTTTAAAAATAATGAATGACTTTTTCAAGTCAGTGAATAATTCAGGCGATTTCATATGTTTATATTCGTTAATTGTCTCAGTTCCTGTTTCAGGAAGTTAACGATTCTTTCAGTCTTTGTTCTTTTTAGTGATTTTTTTTTCATTTTGCGAAAATATCTTTTGAATACAAATTTGTCATTCAAATTGATCGTAATGCATGCTAGCCAAAGTACCTATTTGGTGGATTATAATAATAATTTTGATTAGGATATGACAATATATGGTCGCATACTTCGTTAAAACCCCCAAAACTCTTACAAATATTGAAGTTAAATGTTATGACGCCTTCAGAATACATATAGTAAGTTAAATGCTGATTTAGATATCTCACACGACAGCCGAAGTCAAATCCGTGCCTATCAGCTATTTGGCTTTGTCAGATATTTCAACTCCCTTGGTCATTTAACGGCATTGGCCACGATGGTAACCGACAACCTTGCGATCATGAACGATTTTTACACTTGTTTAACAGATCAAGAAGACACTTTTTGTTTTATATTTCTAGGTAAAACTCATCCAGTTGATAGACAGCAATCCCAGTAGCACACCCATGACACATGACGACCTGGCACTGATGAGTTCTTCTCTCGCACATACATGCCATCCTGGGTGGCAAATTTATGTTCTTAATTAAATGCTTAAGAATGTAGACCAATTAAAATTATGCATTTTCCTGAAAGATGACTGAATTTCTTTTGTTCTTATTTTTAATAATAATGAGAAAATTTCTGTATATTGTTTTAATATCATAATGTAAATACACAATCGATTAATGAAGGCAACGTATGAACACAAAACAGATGATAAGGAAACTCTTGAAATAATACAAAGATAACAAGAACTTGACCCGTATTCTAGAAACCGTTCTCATGATCAAGCATGAATTTTTATGCCTTGTTTAAGATAAATAAAGCTGATTTTGCCGAAGAAACAAAAACCTGTTTTTACCACTTCTTTTTCAATTTTGATAAATTCCGCCTCGTATGAAAACAAAACAACTCGGCCAACAAAGGACCACAGTTAATTCCTATTGGTATGCCAATAGGGTGTTGGAAAATCTTGCCACCAATCTCGACGAAGATGTTGCCAACACGAAACTCGATCATTTTCATGTTTTGGTATGTTTCTTCTTTGATTTGGGCTAATTTTCCCACCAAACACTCTTCAGTATTATTCACAATCATATATCTATATAGTTTTTAACCATTCTTGGAAAGAATACCATACCAAGATAATGTGCTTTAAATCAATTTAGTTTTTTTGCTCATTGAGCTTATACATAACACATTTGTTATGACTAATATACATTCATATTTTTAATTTAATATAACTTTTAGCAATGATGTTTTTTCAGGGGTTTCACTAAAAAATATTACGCTGAATGCAGTTTTTTGTGACGTTAATATAGCGTCTATTGCGTCTTAATGAGTATGTTTAGAGTATCGAGTAAACTGTGATGTTATGCTCATTAGGGTCTCCATGCCTTTTGGATAAATACGTACTAGATTATACGATTTAAATGTATTTGGGTGATGTATATACATACACAAACGTATTGCATTGTGTCATTTAAACAAGCTGAAATTCTCAAAATGGCAAACTTAATCATAAGATATAAGAGACCTAATGATAGACACATCAACAAACGAAACAAAGCCCTGTGTTCCGGAAAGAAAAGATGGCCTTTTCTGTAACATTAGTGACAAATCAAAAGAAATATTCTGCATAGAATAGATCAGAAGTGGTCGACCATTTCCTTATGATAATAGCTCATGTGTGGACGGTTTTGTCATTTACAAATTATTTGTAATATGAACTTGTGATGAAAATATGATATTGGTATTGTCCATTCGAAAGCTATTGAAGATGAATATTAAAATTAAGTTGATGTCTGAAGTCGTTTTTGTGGGTAAAAATAAATAAATTTGAAGAATAATATATGATCACTAGATAATTTCACAATTCATGAGTAACAACCTCTTTGTCATTTTCACAATTCATGAAATAACAAGCTGGTTTGGTTCGCAAAGGAAAGTGGGAAAGTGATATAA